GCTCACATTCGCAGAGCACTTTGCCAGGGAGCCAACTAAACCTTTAGAATGACCTATTAAGTCATTGAGAATTCATAGTATTATGTAGTAACAATTACTACTATCTTCAGTTTGCAGAGGAGAAAAGTAAAGAATATATCCTCATGTTAAGGTTACAAAGCTTTGCCAGCTGAGTTACCAAGCATTATTTCAAGTCCTCTGTTCAACTCTCCCCCAGATAACCTGCAAGTGGAGGAAGCTGCAGTTCTCATTGCAAAGTTCTGGCTCCTCCAACACACGGTATACTCACAAAGCAAACTTCCCTTTAGTAATTACAAATACCGCACAGTAAACATTACTAAAGCCTAGGCAAAATGCAAAGTGTTTTTACATTTTTTCTCCCAACAATTTGTGAAAATTTGCTATCACTGTTTTAAAAAGAGAGTTGGAAATCTCTTAAAATGAGGGAAATAACATTTAGCTCCAAAGGTAGTGTTTTCAATTGACTTGTGTCCAACAATTAGATATGTTGAAATCCTAATCTCCAGGGCATCAGAATATGATCTTATTGGGAAATAAGGCAGTTTTAGATATAATCAGTAAATATGACACCATATAGGTGTGGAAAAGTCCCCTAATCCAATATGACCAGGGAGGGTCAGCAGCCAAGGAATGCATGTGGCCACAAAAACTGGAAGGGGCCTCTCTTCCTCTAAGCTTCTGAGAAAGACTCAGTGACACTTTGATTTCATACTTCCCCTAGAACAGTGAGAAACTAAATTTCTCTTGTTTTGAGAAACCTACTTTGGAGTAGCTTGCCCACTGCCCTAGAAATCTGATATAGGTGGTTTAAAAGTTAAATGAAAAATCATTATATTAAAATGCTGAATAAGGTGTATTTAAAGGCCTCTACAAAGAATATTTTAAAAATATTTCTGTGTAAGAAGAATATTGTGCCAACATATGCAAAGCAACAGGATAAAAATTAGTACAATTCCCCAAAGAGCTTATTTTACCTTGACACTTTGTAGGGAGTGTGGTAATTAATTCAGTTGGTGAGTAATTTAAATATTTACAAAAGAAAGAGAGGCTGGAGAGATGGCTCAGCAGTTAAGAACCCTGGCTGTTCTTGCAGAGGACCTGAGTTTGGATCCCAGCACCAATATGGTGCTAACAACTATATATAATTCCAGCTCCAAGGAATCCAATGCCCTCTTTTGACCTCTGTAGGCATTGTACACGAGTGCAAATAATTCATGCAGACAAAACACTCAAACGCAATAAATAAATAATAAATCATAAAAAAGAAAATAAACATTATTTTTAAGATGAAAGAGAAGAAAATTTTAAAGGCATGTTTGAGCTTTATCTTCATACTTTCAAGAGCACCATTAACTCTATGATTTGAAGAGGAATTTCAAGTCATATATATTGATACATATATGTCCTACATGCATCTGTTCATATGTATATGCATATAAATATTTATACATATGTATGTGCATATGTGCACACATGCATATATATTAACAGTCCTGAAATGAGATTGGCAGCTCTTATTTGTAGTTTGGGGCAGACAGAATACTAATTTTTCCCCCTGGTTCTAGAAGGGAACTTAAATCAGAAACCATTTGCCAGGTGTGGTGGCACATGCCTTTAATCCCAGCACTTGGGAGGCAGAGGCAGGTAGATCTCTGTGAGTTCAAGGCCAGCCTGGTCTACATAGTGAGTTCCAGGCCAGCTGGCGCTACAGGGAGACCCTGTCTCAAAAAGACAAAAAAAAAAAAAAAAAAAAAATCAAAAACCCTTTGATAGCAACTCTCCCACATCCTCGACATACAAAACAGTGAGTAGGTGGTAGAGGTACACTAGGGTGCTGTGTGAGTATCTACGAAGTGCCTAGTAAATGGATGGTGCTCAGAAAATGTCCAGTTTTTGCTAAATTCATCCCACAAAGTCATTCTGCAGCTGGAGTGACTCTAGGTCAGACAAAGAATGTGATTTCCCAAACTTACATTTCTGGGTCTTACTCATTTACTCAGCGATTCTTGCATGCTGGGCACAGATGTGACTGCGGGCAGTCAATGTCCTTCAGGGATTTCATAGCCCAGTGGTGAAGAGGACTGGCAAATAGGTAAATGTATAACTAAAGCCCAACTGGTATGTGCTTTGTAAGAAATCATCTAAGTGGGGGCTGAAGTGATGACTCAGCAGTAAAGAACACTCATTGTTCTTCCAGAGGACCTGGGTTCAATTCCCAGAACCCACATGGCAACAAACGTCTATAATTCCAGCTCCAGGGGATCCAAGGCCCTCTTCTGGCCTCCGTGGGGCATTGCATGCATGTGGTGCTCTTAGGTACATGCAGGCAAAACATTCATGCACATAAAATAAAAATAATA